AATCAAACTGTAGATTATAATTCAAATTTTAGTACTATATGTTACTCCATTTCTTAACTTAAAAGTAAATATTAAAAAAATGCAGTTAAACATTGATTTTTGTGTGTCGCGTGGTATGTTGAATGCAGCACTGGTTCAAATTAGATGTTTATGATGTGAAAATATTAAGTCTACAAGCTAGAATATAAAATGATAACCTCTTCCTTTTTGGTAAGATACTGCTTATGTACTGAAACACACACACGATGGCCCTACTCACCTTTTTCCATTTTTGGAAATACTCCCTTATATACACTTCTATATATGACATGAATAACCAGTCGGAAGCTCAGAATGTCCCCCTAGTGACTTTCTTAGCCATTTTAACATGTTTGGGTGCCATTTCTTTCTTTTGAACCAAGATTTCAAGGGGGTAGGTTACGTCTTTAATCTGCTCAGAATTTCATATTTTTCAGACCCAAATACAGCTTAGTTACTAAGCTTGATTAAGTTATAGTGGAACTCTGTGGTATCAATGTAGTAATTTACGATTTTTTGGTTGTTCAATTGTATATAAAAAACCTAAAAATCTTTTGTTTCATATCCTCCACGTGCAGAATTTTAAAAGGCTTAGCAACCTACATCAAGCAGCAATCGAGTACAAAGGTCATAACTAGAAGAGATAATTGTTTGTTTTACTTCTTTATTTACTGTTTTATGTTTTAAGAAAAATAAGGTTGAGAACTTATTTCAAAATTGCATCCACCACATCTAAAGGCAACCCATCCTAAAAGTTCAACCACACTCTTAGGAAAGTAAAACTACATTAGTTGAAGATGACTCTTACTTTGCCAGAACTTGTCCTCTTGTTTTACCATTCCACCAACAAGTATAAAAAAAAATGATGCACCGACAATTAATTCCCTCAACAATCTTAAACACCTCAATCGATCCCCTCAAAGGTTTTGGTTTTTCAAGAGAAAATTTCAGAGACATTCATCTTTTCCTTGTATAAATACCTTTCCATCCTATTAGCCCTCCTTTGAACCCTTTCCAACAATTCAATGTTTTTTTTTTAAATTAGAAGCCAAAGATTGAATGAACATAATCCTACAAATGAGAACTCTTTAGACTTGTATTCAATGTTGCTGTATATATAACTTAAAATTCCACTAGCAGTTGTATTGCTTGGAAGGCTTAATTTACATCATCAAAATTATTTGAGCCAAAAAAGTTACGAAATTTTTTGCACTTGACCAGTGATTAAGCCTTTTTTTTTAGAATCAATTTTCTGCCATCACTAGATTAAATGAAGAAACAAATTGCTAAAATAACTGTTTAAATTGATGAGCTGACTAATTAATAGCAGTGCTCCAAAAACATATCCTTGTGTTATACTGCTGGTCAGTTTCTTCTGGTTCAAAAATGGACATTTGATTTCAATTGCTTGTTTGTTTTTTTTTATATATATATATTTTTAATAGTATTTTCCAACTGGCCATTAACATGTAACTTAGTAATTAATATACTATGTAGTAAGGCTTTCTGAAATACAAAAATTCTCTTGAATATGTTAATGTAGCTGATACTACATGAATACCAGTAAAATTTAGCACAAAGAAGTACTGAATAATGTATAACTTCTGTTCCATAGTTTTGATGTACGTGACTTTTCGTTTAAGGCAAGATGGTGCGAATGAACGTACTGGCAGATGCTTTAAAGTCCATCAATAATGCTGAGAAACGAGGGAAGCGTCAAGTTCTTCTTCGTCCCTGCTCTAAAGTTATTGTAAGGTTTTTGACAGTTATGATGAAGCATGGTAAGTGTAGCATAGCTTTGTCATTCCTTGCTGTATTAAGACAAGCTCAATATTCATAAGTAAATTTTTATTAGCTATACCACATTTCTTGTTTGTATTTTTATTATGGTAAGAAGTTGTCTGCTTCAGTCAGCAAAGTAAAGTATCAAAAAAAATATACTGGCAAATATAAACATTAAAACTGATTGAATATGTAAAAAAATGAAACTTTTTGATCGGTACTAGCCTGTATTGGATCGTTTATGTTATTGAGCTAATAGATACAGGCTGATTTATTTCCAAATGTCTAGTAACCAAATCCAGTTTTCATTTTTTAAAAAAAAAAGGGAAAATAATAATTTTATTTTAATGTAAATACACTCCATCTCTAACTTTGATTTATTTAAATGTTTGGTTATGCCAAAACTGATCTTCAGTTCACAAGATATTTCTTTTAATGGAAAGAAGCGTACAGCTTCTAAAAAATTTTTTTGAAAATTTGTTTTAAAGTTCCACTTATTTTTTTAACAGGTTATATAGGCGAATTTGAAATAGTAGATGATCACAGAGCTGGGAAAATTGTGGTCAATTTAACTGGTCGTCTTAACAAATGTGGTGTAATCAGTCCTCGATTTGATGTACATCTTAGAGATTTAGAAAAGTGGACTAGTAACCTTTTGCCATCTCGACAGTTTGGGTACGTTACTAGATTTGTTTTTTATTAAACGTTTAATCAATGAACACTTCATTAAGATTAATACATGAAATTGTTGGAAAATCAAATTCAGTTTTGCCATAGAAATGGTTCTTTAATAAAGATTTTAAATGCTATAAGTTTTCTAAAGCATGTATCATTACTGTTTTTGATTTTTAATCTTTGTTTCCCAAAACTTTTTTTTTTTCCAAAAAATATCAAGCTACAATCTAAATCCTAGAATCACCCACAGATAAAAAGCTTTGTTTTAATTGCAGTTGTTGACATGTAACCATGAGCTATAAACATGAACTATATTATGAAAGTGTAAGGACTCGGATACATAGAGATGATAATTTTCTGTAGACAAGTTTCATTATTTGACAGAACATTTTTTTTTACAGTAGTATAAATATGTTGCTGGCCTAATAAGAACAGTTTAATACATATCTATAATAATAATAATAGCTTTGTAAGTGCAGTCATAAAAAAGGCATGACTTGCACTACGTGATATTGCTATGTTGAAATATGACAGTTGGGACAAAGGTATTAAAACAAGTTAACAGTGATGGATTAAATTAACATTTAAGTTCATCTGGAATTGGAAAAAAGACAAACAATGCTTCTATGAAAATGGGCGAGTTTATCTACCTGTTGCCTTGTACATAATCATGGGAAACCTGTAGGAACCATTTGATGTATGTTCATCCAGTTGTTGAAGTTTCACATGTTTGGAATTACTTCTGTACAAAAGTTTTTCTGAATGCGACTGTGACTCAGTGGTAGAAGAGTTATGACACTTTAAACAGTACAGATAGCTCATTGTTGCTCTACTTTCAAGTACAAAGTGATTCCGAGGCACACAGTTTCTGGTAAAATAGGACATGGCGTAATAACTTTATATAAAGAGGAAAATTTCTGCAAAAAAGATAGTATCATAAACAGTAAAAAGATATGATGAACTTGGTACCACTGATGACAAGCAAGCTTGAAAGACCATATTAGATCTTAAGGTCACTTCACTCAGAAACGGATATGAAACTAACAATTGTCTTGCTGCAGAACTAACAAACCACCAGTGTTAGAGCAAATTTTGTCGTTGAAGGGCTTAAAGAGTGCATTGCAGCAAGGTAATCTTTATTGTAGTAAAGCATATCAGATCTTAAGCTCACTTCACGGATTGGCTAGTTTTTTTGTTTCTTTCAACAAAAAATGTCCCCCATTGGCTCGTTAGGGGCCTGCTAATAATTTTATGTAGTTTCTTTATTTAATCCATTTGATATTAATTTTTGCATCAATATTTCAACACTAATAATGAAATATAGTAATTTATTACAAATTTCACAAAATCTGAAAAGAGGATAAGCCGTATCTTGGAAAAGAAAAATATTTTCTTTAATTAAAAATATTTAGATTGATATCATTATCAATTATTTTAATTTCTAGATCTAAATAATGTTCCTCTACATCCGTAACTAAGTATTTTCAATTTCTAATTCTACTGGATAAATAGTGTTAATAAAGTTATTTATCTCAGGATTATTTATATCATCTATGTATCTATAAGTTAAAGCAAAAATTGAATAAACCTGGAAATATGTGTGGGTTCAACTTCTGCAATCACCTCCAAAACCCAGAGCACATTTTAATACCCACATTATAGCCTGTACCCTGGGATCCTTTTAATTTATGCAACATCTTTAATTTAAGTTTGTTTGGGTTTGTTTTTGCTATATATGTATATATATCTGTGTGTGTTCAATAAAATGGCAACAGCTAATAGTTTTTAACCTTCTTGCTGTGGGCTGATCAATGTGACCGACCTTTTAACCCCAAAACCATCAGTTTCCATACTGTAACTGTTAAACATATGGTTACAGTTTGTATCCATTTGGCTAACTTCTCGTATGGAGAATGATACACAGTTCAACAATACTTACAATCATTTTCACAATAATTGATAATATTTTATTAAATATTAAGTTATTTTAACTAAAGATTTGTTATGGTGGTATTGTAGTTATTTGCACTCAGATTGAATATTTTGAATATTATCATCAACGTATAGTGCAGTGATGTGCTTAACATTAAGAAATATAAAAAATTTGCATACCTTTTAATTTATTCGTTGAATAATCTTAAAAGATCTTCTGGTTATATTCTTAATTGCAAGTTTTTACATTTTGACATATAGTTTATTTTTTATGTTTTGATTTCTTTTCATGTCCTTTAACATTATTATTTAACACGACACACGTCAACAGGTGTCTCCTGGCAATATTTCGGTGTTATCAGCAGAGGCACTTTGGCCTTCGTCAGAGTGTTGGGACCACTACACTAAGCTTCATGAACTAAGGCAGTTTTAAAAATTATTAAACCTTTCTAATAGGCATTTTAAAATATAATTAACTAAAAGCTAAATACAACTTAATTTTGTCTGTCTAATTAACGTATTTATAAGAGAGAAACGATACAAAGTGGTAGAAAGGATATAAGGGGCAAGAATACTGAGAGGGAATTCAAGAACTTATATTGAATTCTGCACACCAATGCAAAATTGCATGGCTATGTGTAGAAAGTGGGCATGGTGTCCATCAAGAGTTCCCAAGAGATTTATTTTTCATTTCTTGTAACTTGCTATAAAGAAGTTGAAGGAAGAAATTAACCTAGTTTTGGTCTGTACGTTAAGGTTTAGTGTATGAGAAGAATTATTTAAGTTACAAAGATTGAAATCTAAGTGCTTGTACGTCATGGGATAACAAAACCAAAGATTTTTTCTTAAGTTTATTTCCAAAAATGGAATTGAAACATTGAGTTATAACACATTATAATGCTAATTTCATTGACATACATTGATAGTAAAATTGCTTTATTACGTTTTGAATGTAACTCAGTAAAATATTTTGACATGCACAGAAAGGGGGACCCATAACTAGTGTAAATATGTTTTGTGTATCTTCACAAAATTTGGCAAGCTTTCAGTAAATATTACAAGTCTTTTTGTACACACAAAATGTAAGTGTTTTTGCTAAAAATGTGTCCGTGAAGACATGGTATCAGTGTTGCCTTTTCTGAGTGCAAAGTTATTTTCGTGTTAAGATTAAAAATACTTTTTATCATCTAAAAATTGTCAGGTTTCATTTGCGTAATCTCTAAAACCTTCTAAATAAATATCAAACTTCTTTCAGTATAACTATATTTTGTTATTTTCTCTACCCTAACTATATACGCATTTGTTTGATTTGATCGAGTTTGTAACCACCACAAAAAAAAAGAAATATATCAAAATTACCCTTTTTTCATTCTAGAATGACTGCAAATTGTAACAGGACACTATAGTTGTTTATCATAAAAGCTTTAGGGCTTGTAACAGTATACATCTGTTTAAACTTGATTTTGTTGTTTTATTAGCCTTTGATTCATGTCTAACTTATAATCCCACCACAAAAGTTGTGATGAGATCATCTAACATGTAGCCTAAGTTATTGTATTCAATTATGTAAACTGCTAGAGAGCATACCTCATGAATTGTTTTTCATTATCTTACATGATCAAACCTAATAAGTTTTTAATTTTTACATTTTAGTTACATTTATAGCAATAAGTAAAGAATATACATGAAAAACAAGAAATACGTCACTTACCTGTGACTATTTTTTGCTGTCAGTTGACAATGAAATTTAAGCCTACTTTTTTTATACTAATAGTACTATTACACTAAATAATTTTTATTTACATAAATAATTCCCCTGAGAATGCAGAATAATAACATGCACAAATCAGTGTCCCATAATTATCATAATTTATCTGGCTTTCTAAATACGGCATAAGAGCCTTTAGTTAAATATTACCTTCAGCTTGTCAATATGACTGCCGAAAGAGAAACTTTCAAACTCAAGATGAAATCGACAATACTCTGTACTGAAAACAACATAATATTATAATGTGTCATTTTATAGGTTGAATTTTAGCTTTCTGTTGTTTATAAATAATATAGTATGAAATATCAGAGAGAATTTGGAATTTATAAAAGAGAGGATGTGGCAAATGGTTCTGATTTTCTAGTTTATGGTTTAATAAACAAGGATATAAAACTTGTGCTTTGCCTTGGTAATATATATATATTATAATGAGTAATTTTGAATTTCATACTTCCGGGGGGGGGGGTAAATAAGTTAGGAAAGAGGGGAGACCTAGAAAGCAAATCTGACAATTTTTTTTCCGTTAAAGACTTAAATCTCATATTGGCAAGCTTTCAGTAAATATTACAAGTCTTTTTGACACACAAAATGTAAGTGTTTTTGCTAAA